GACGGTGATGATTGTGGTGATGGTGATGGTGATGATGGTGATGGTGATGATGGTGATGATGGTGATGATGGTGATGATGGTGATGATGGTGATGATGGTGATGATGGTGATGATGGTGATGATGGTGATGATAATGATGATGATGGTGATGATGATGGTTATGATGATGATGATGGGGATGATGATGGTGATGATGGTGATGATGGTGATGATGATGATGGTGATGATGATGATGATTATGATGATTTCGATGATGATGATGATGATGATGATGATGGTGATGATGATGATGACGCTGATGGCGATGATGGCGATGACGATGATGACGATGACGATGACGATGACGATGATGATGATGTTGTTGCAGATGCTGATGATGATACTGGTGCTCCTGATCTGGAGAGGAGGAGGAGGAGGGGAGGAAGAAGAGGAGGAAGAGGAGAAGGGGGTCTGGTCGACACCCCTGGTCACAGCCAGAACTCTCAACAAGTCGAGTTCAAGCTCTCTGCCGGGGTCCTGAAGGCTATCGCTTGCGCCATACAGTAACTTCCAGTTTGCAAGGTCGCAGGCAATGGACTTGCATGGATAAGGCCGCAACGAACGGCTTCACGTGCAGAAACCCCATAGTTTACTATAGGGGCCTTGATAACTAGAATAGGGTTTTGGCGTATATTATATTCTACCTATAATAAGGAACCCCTAAAGTCATCGTAAGCGAGGCCGCTTCTGGCTTTGCGAGAAAGCTGTTCTTGATCTTACGAGCTTTGCAAAAAAAAACTGCCTCTCCATGGGCTTCAGCAGATTCTGGGGCAGTGTCCAACGATGCTTGAGCCCATCAACAATCGTTCGCTCTGTCCAAGCCATTTCTCGTTGCTAATGCTGGGCAGACGACGGCGTGTCTTGACTTGCATCGTGATCTACGCACTCCGAGTCACAGGAGCAAATCGTGTGGCAGGCTGCCCCAATTATTTCGCTCCAAGCATGAACTCTGTCTCTGTTGTACGCCTCCGCGCCACAAATCTAGTTCAACTGCCAGCTCTGGTCGGCCATGCAAGTGCCCGGTTCATGTTCGCAACCACTGCCAGCAAGCATCGCTGCCAAGGGGAGCAGGGCAAGAGCCTACATGCCACCATGGACCGGGCGCTGCTTTGTTGCGGTAGTAAAATAGGCAAAAGGTGAAGCGAGACGAAGTGATTGCAGAGGTCAGTTGAGACGTAGACACGTTGCATTTGGAATCTCGGCAGTGCCACATCTTGCGGACACGTACGAAGTCCAGTCGTACTCTTCCAGGTCCCATTCGTAGCAGATGTGCATCAGGCCAGTGCATCGGCGTTCAAGGGGCCCCCTTTTTTGGTGACATTGCCAGCTCCAGCTGTGCGCACAGGCTGTTGCTCGAGGACATCGTACCTAGAAGACTTCGGCGACGAACATCACCGAGCCGAGCGCAGGTAAAAAGCTGCGAAGGGGGCTCGGAGAGCCTTTGATCTCCAGGTCACCTTAAGGCTCCCTTTCGTAGTAGAGGATGTATGCAGGAAATGCCTGCTCGTTGTCGTAGACGATGAACTCCCGAAACGTGCCTGATGTCTTCCGTCCTCGGCTTCAGCCCCTGGACTCCACCGAGTTTCGACATGGCTTGTCTTTGCGGGTTTGCACTTCCGGAAAAAAGTGTCGCAGATTGAAAAAAAGGCCGCCGCAACAATCCGGCCTTTTCGAACAATCCGCCTTTCCCTTGCAACCCCACATCCCGAACCTTTCCCCCTCTGTGTGATTGCCCAAACGTGCAGCAAAACACCATAAGGCCCTCGTCCTGAGTAGGCCCTAGATCCCACAGACGGGTTCATGAAAATCCAGGACTCTGTCGCCCAGGACGCTGTGCCACCTGGCAGAGGTTGAAATTGCGCAGGGAATTAACTACGACGACCACGACCACTGCTGCTGCTCCTCCTCCTTCTCTAGCACCACCACCTCTACCATTACCACCACCGTCAACTACGACCACCACTATGACTACGAGTAACGATCATAATTATATCACCACCACGACCCCTGTCAGTACTACTGCGACTACTACCACCACCCACCCACACAAAAGGCATGTCTAAACCGCAGTACTCGAACTTTCCCCGACACCTCCTACCTCCTTCTAATGTCTGGGGTGACCTACTCAACATCTTGCTTTTCAACGTTAAGTCCTCTTGGAGTTTAAGAGTTTCGGTTCTGCAGGACAAACCCCCCAAGGATATGAGGCCGACATCTCCTTGCAACGACCCTGGTCGTAAGAACTGACGGTTGAAGTGAAGCTTAGGCCTCGGCTTTGATAGGCATAGTCATTAATCATGAATGCCGGCAGCGAGCTCTCAGCATTTCAGAGCTTACCTCAACTTGCTGCGTTTTTTGTTCAGACATCCGACCTCTCGATGAGGCATCGCCTTTCCAGCTGTCGTCGGTCCGGGCGGCGCTCTGCGCAGTAGAAGACATGGCCCAAGCCTTAAGAGCAGCCAAATTGCAACCAGTCAGCATACACTCCGAAGGTCACGGAGAACGGTTACCCACAACTCAAGACGACGAAAGGGCATGAGAACGGAAAGAACACCAAGAACATCAGGAGCAGCCACCCAAGAGGCAGCGATGACGACAACCCACAACCTCGACGAGGACAAGAAGACCAGAGCAGCAACTGTACCCCACAGGCTTCGATTATTTTAGGGTTCCGAGAGGCCGCATGCACGTTTAGAACCACCAGCCTTAAAAAACCTGAGAGATTTTCCCGGGAGCACATGGGGAGCTTTCCAAGACTTTGTCTGAAAACTTCCGATCGCGTCAAGGAAATTTTTGAGCCGAGCGGCAGACCCGACACAGCAGCACAGGGTACAGGACGCGCCCTGGGCAAGACGGCACCGACTCCCAGACGCCATCAAACACCCTACCTTGTTAACCCTATACCCTAAACCCTAAACCCTAAACCCTAACTAAACCCTAAACCCTAAACCCTAACTAAACCCTCAACCCTAAACCCTAAATGTCTGGAGTCTGGACCTGATGCACCTGCACTCGCCAACTGGAAAGC